GGGGGGGGGCACATAAGCAAGTGCCCCCCTCTAACTACGCCATAGATAACTAGATTATAAAATAATCTATTTAAAATTAAGACTGGTAGACAACAGGTTTTGACCCATTATTTTATTGTTATAAATATTTAAAATATAGAGTAGAGGAGAATAGTGTTATGTTATTTTTATCATTTTAAAAGTTGTTATTGGCCAGTCATTTTCCTATTGAGATAATTTCTTATTTTATTAGCTAGTTAACATTGCAATACGAAATTTTGAATATCAATTTCATACTAAATTTTACTTTTATATTATGTATTGTATGAAACTAGTAATCATGAAATTTTTTATGAAATAGGAATTTATAATGCTTTTGGAATAATTCATGAAATCCTTTTATAAATTAAACAAGCTATCTACCGATTTGTATCGAAGCGTATTTTATGATAGTGATTTTAATCACTGTCAGATATTATCTATACTTAACTATGCCACGTCTCCACTGTATTGGGTTTTTTATTGGTAGTAATACTTTATGAAAATATTAACTAGCAAAAGAAGTCAATAGTCCTAGAGTGCCGATTCAATTATATAATTATAATGTTCAGTTATATTGTTCTATTTATTGATAATTTCTTTAAATAATAATTCCTACGAAGGACTAACCAATCGTCTTAAAGTATCCATGGTTAAGAAACCTTTTCTTGGGAAAAGCCGCTATGAACGTTAATGAGTCGCAATGGTATTAAAAAAATTATCAATCAAATCAAATTACCTAAGATATGTGTCATAGACGTTTATTTTTAGACATTAAGAGTTAATAATATGATTCTGTAATTTACTTAGACAATAAAAGTACTTTTTATAAAATACTTTTTTGACGAATAAATAACTTGAACCTTAATTTGTTTAAATAATCAAAAACCAAAGATAATTAGACCAATATTGTTTTTAATATTGTAAACAATGAAGAAAACACACACGTGTGTTATCGTTGAAAATTAAAAAATACTTTTGTATTTTCATTTACTCTAAAGAATGGAATGCTTCTCAAGGAAGATCTGACTCAACATTATTTTTTCAATAAACAAACAAAATGTACGTTCATACATCTGTATCATCATCGTAATTCAAAAATATTATAATAATATAGAGAACATAAAATATTCTCATAATATAAAAATATAATTATATAAAAATATTATAAATTTATATATTGCTATAAGGTTATCAGAATAGTCGAATAATAACATTGAACTTACAATGTTTTAACAATAATAGTAAAATATTAAGTATGAAATATTTACTATAATATTAACAAAGATTGATGTAAGATTAATATATTAACTTAATTTATAATATTTATGGGAAACATCGAAAATATGCAACGCAACTTTTAATATAAAACCAAATTAGCAAAGGGGTGAATCTTCGTTCTAGTTTCGATTTTGTAAGTTATTTAGACTCCTATTACAAACGTCTAAATTCATCACTAAACTTTTTCATAATTTTCATATGTAATGTCTTTGTTCTTTTAATGAATTCACTTAATTAATATACTATTTTAATATACTATTTTTAATTACATGGATTATATAAATCCATGTAATATGTCGTTACTATAATACGTTACGGTAATTTTTTTAGATATTATTATATATTACTAAAATATTATGGTAACATTGCCAGAATATTATTATAATATATTGATATAACAATAAAAAAAAACATTAGCACAGTGGGGTCGCGGCACAGTATGGACTTGATATAGTAGGGAAAAGTATAGAAGATATCTGACAGTGATTAAAATCACTATTATAAAAACTGCTTCGATGCAAATCTGTAGATAACACTAGTTTACAATAAAATTGACCTATGACTTAAGATAATCATTTTTTATGTAAAATCGTCCACTGAGTTAGAAAATGAAGTCCAAAATACAAAAAGTAGAACACTTTTTCAGTTATTGCGAAATTAGCATTTTTCGTGTGCCGCGAAAAAGAGATTTTTATAAATTTTAAATCTTTAATTGCAATTAACCGATTTTAATTTTTTTTACGTAAAATTAAACAATATTGAATTACCTATAACTTTTATCCTAAACAATTTTTTAACTGTCTTTTTCTCGTTTGCTATCTAAGAATTTAGCTCTGAATTTTTATCATTTTTTCAAAATGTCAGAAAAAATTCAGAGTTTTACGTAAAATACACCAATCAAAAATAAATTTATCAACGATATACTCAATAGACATTATACTCTAATACATAACAAAGAAAATTATATATTATTTTGTAATATTGATACAAAAATTAAGTAGTTATACGCGATTGAAAAATAAAACAAATTTCCTAATATCAGAGATTTTTAATTCAATGTTTTAATTATGTAAAATATAGAAAAAAATATTGAAAAATTATTCACAATATTACTTTTCAAAACAAAATTTCGATTTTTTTAATAACTTAAGGTTATTTCATATAGTTTTATTGGGATATTTTTAAATTGAGTTAATTTTACAGTTTGGTGGGGTTGTGGTAAATTTTCGTATTTAAAAAAAATGATAATTCTCTAAAAATATAAAGTAATTTTCTATAGAATTAAGAAAATTAAAATTATTTTAGTATGGATTTAGAAAATAATTTTAAATATAGTAAATTTAATATATAATTAAAAAAATAAATAATAAAGTTTTACAAAAAAGAAAACAATTATAATTTTCGCTATGATATTTTTTGTAATTAGTTGTATGATAATCAAAGAATAATTTTTATTTAACTGAATTTAGGACGCATTAGTCTTAATATTTCTTTTATATGTTTCATTGCTTTCTCTTATAAGAAACAAACAATATAAAAACAATATTGTTAAATTAATAATATGTTAAAGATAAGGAAAATGACATATTCAATTTAATTTTTTAATCCTTTAAAGTTGATTTTTGTGAATGTTTATAATAAAAAAAAATTTATTTATTTTACCATAACTTTTAGCTCAACTTGCAAGTTTGAAATTGACATCATTAAATAGAAAATTTTGTGAGAATTAAAAACATTGTATCATTAAGATTAATATGCAGCTAAGAAGTTTTATAATTACTATTTATAGTAAATTTATCATAGTAGCTCAATATTTGTTTGCATTTTTATCGCTATAGATAACTTAAATATAAGTAATAGTAATCATTTCTAATTAACTTTTGGTGTTTAAAAAGATTCTACAATGAAAATATTTAGAACTTAATTAATTTTAATGATTTACTTTAACTAAAAGAACCAATCAAAACAAAGTTGTTAAAAAGATTTACTCAATTGAGCGTATTATAAAATTTGATTATAATTGTAAAAATCCATTGTTAATTCATAAAAAACTAACAATCATTTTTATTAGAAATGATTTATATAGCATCATTTTACCAAAAAATTTGGAATATTATAGTCTAGTAGTAGCACACACAAATAGAGTAAAAAAATTATTTTGTAATTATTAATTACATTAATTACATTTTATATTACATAAGCTTACAAGTTTTATGATTTATAATTTATAAATAAATAAAGGGAAATGTTGTTATTTAAAAAAAAATATATCGAATTTATAAAGAAATGATAGAATTATAAAGTTAAAAATGTAAAATATAAAATCAAGAATTTTCACATAAAAATAGCTTTTGGTAACTATTTTCACCGTGATGACAAAGTCCGAAATTTTTTTTTTCATAATAAATCATATTCTATTATCTTTAATTTAAGATATATATAAAAGTGTCAGAGTTTCCGGAACACTTTCAAAAGTTAAATTGAAAAAGTACTACTTTCTATATGCATTTTTTAGATTTGAACCCCCCCTGTATTAAGGAAAATAGTCTGATTTAAAAAAAAAGTATGTCGAATGAAAGATGTATATAAATACAACTTCACATGAAAAAAGTGTAAGATAATAGTTATGAACAAATAACAAATGTCAAAAATCTGTTTGTTTTAGCTTCCATGCGAAGCTAAAAAACTATTGGTTTTACTATGATGTGTTTTTTTTTAGCTTCGATGCGAAGCTGAGAAGGTATTGGTTTTACTATGATGTGTTTTTTTTTTTTGTGTATCATACCACTTTTTCTCAGCTCACACTGAACGGATTTCTTTCAACGATACGTCAAAAGATCACAAATCGTATCTAGTCGAAGACATTACCCTTCAAAATTGAAAAAATTTCCCTCGTTCCCCGTAAATGGGGGAAACCTCCAAAAAAATGACAAATTTAAAAATCGCTAATATTCGAAAATTTTTTCAAATTTTTTTACTAAAAACTGCCGTAACTTTTTCAAAAATAAACATATCAATATAATTTTTTTTTATATAGATGCTTGATATCTTTACCTATTATTTGGTATATTTTTTTTGTAAATCTGACACTTAACCTGCCCACAGGGGTGGAATTAAAATGACNTTGACTTTTTTTCTGCCCACAGGGGGGGATTTAAAATCACAACTTTTTCACA